TTAAACCAAATTTATTGTTGTACATGGTCCTGTAATATAAGCTGAATCTTTTTAATTTGTTCTGCTTTCACCTAAATCAAGGTGTATTCACAGGCACTTCCTTTCCTAGGTGATGACATTTAGGCAGCCTATACATGAGCCTTTTTTTTTTTTCATTCAACCAGCAGGCTGAATGAAAAAAAAAAAATGACTCAATTTCCCTATCCACACACTCAATGTGGATGGGGGAATCCTCTCCGCTGAGCTAATGTGTTCAGCCAGGAGACTTCCCCATTATCAGAATACACTGATCAGCACTGCCGGTCATAGCCATCAGCACTATACGAATGGGGAAAATCTGACAGACTGATTGTACAGAAGGTAACTTGAATTCTCTACAACCAGCCTGCCCATACTTGGATTGAAATTTAGGTAGTCCCTGCTGAACTTGCCAAATTTCAACCCATGTACAATATACCGTATTCAGTTCAGCTGCAATGTTATCACCTATTTTACATACTCTTGAGTTGGACTACGAGCAGTTGCATCAATGCACAGTACACTGGCCCCCCGTCTGCTATAATCACTGCAGTAAAATGATCATCTTCAAATGTTGTTGGATCATGAAAACATCCACAGGAATTTCACACAAAATAATTGATTTACTAAAGGCAAATAGGGTCTCCACTTTGCAGAGGACATTGCACTTTGCAAGGGAATTTTCCATTGAGTTTGTTGAATGAGATGAAGCTGTGATGACTTCCATCGTTCAATCATGTTTAGGTAAAATGCTGTTTTTTTATTTTCCTTGCACATAATTGGGTATTCATTGCAAAGTGAAATGTTACCATATTCTCTAAGCTCTTGGGAAAACTCAACATGCAAACTTCCCTTGCATAGTGCAACTTCACATGCAAATTGAACAGTCCATTTATCCTTCAGTAAATCAATCCCAAAGAGTCTACAGGATTTGCACCGCACAGGGAGAGAAACATCTATGAAGCAAAAGGAAGTGTCAAGAATCAGCGGTAAGAGATAACCAGATCTGCATGGCTACAGAACTGAGACCAGACTATGTACATAGTGAAGTAAATCTATCAATAATAAGACAAAAGTTTACACAACTATTATTTCAGACTCTTCTGTACCCACGTTGCATGATTGATGGGTTTTGTGTTTGTACAATTTTTCACCTTCCTTTGGTGAGGAAGTCGTAACCGCCTTCCATCGGTTCTCAGCCTACCCCCCCCCCCCCTTTTTTTTCTGTGTTTCTGTCTCCTTTTCCCTATTTCTACCCCTTTTCTTGTTTCACTCTTCTTTTTTTTTAACCTTTAAAACTGATTACTGAGCAATCATTCAGGCTCATGTTACGGTTGAATAATCCTCACTGTTTGGTCCCATGGCTTTTGGACTTTGTACTGACTTTACATATTGTAACCAGCAATTTGTCATTACTAAGTTCACTTTGAGTGTTACATTTATATTCTGTACTATAACGCTGAATTTGCAATAAAAATGTATTAACCAAAAATAATAAAGACAAAATACATCCACGCACCAGAAAACAGGAAACAAGCAAATGTGAAAAGTGAACTACAACCATATAACCAAAATAACTAAGTAACAGGAACCTAATGAACTAACCATATACAATATGTACAAAATAGATGCAAAATGAGGAACACACAGGGGCAGACTGACAACTCATGGGGCCCCCGGGCAATAGGGATCATGGGGCCTTGCCCAAACTCAAAAAAGCCTATGAAAAAGGTACCAGGGGCATCTCATGGGGCCCCCTACTGCCTGAGTTTCCAAATGGTCAGTCTGCCCCGGGAACACAGGTAACAGAAAATACCAGAGATGCAAGGAAGGGGGTAATATGGGCTGGTACAGAAACAAGGGGAGCAGATGCAAGCAGCAGGACGCAGGGTACAGGATGCAAGGCTAGAGCAAGATCAAGCTCAGTATCAGTAGTAGGATCAAGAGCAGGAGAGATAAATGGCAACAGCATCAGACTTAGCACAGCAAGCAAATCAAAACACTAGCACAATGTGTATCAGCAGAAGAAGGACTTAAAGTGGAGATCCACCTGAAAAAATAAAAAAAAGCATCTACAAAAAGTGTAGCTGCTGACTTTTAAAATACAGCCACTTACCTGTCCCTCGGTCCAGCGTTGTCCTCACAACCGCTGGTTTCACTGGCCGTCTTCTTTCCCAGGTGCCGGCATCTTTAGTGTGGGAACTCAGCTGTGACAGCTTGTGGCTTCAGACCTGGGTGCCCAATGTGCATGCATAAGAAGTGATGCACTTTGTGAATGGCCCTGTAGTTTCTGGGACCTGTCACGTGTCCCAGAAGACTACGGGGAGGGAGGAGGACAACTTCCACTTCCGATCGCCTAGGTGATCGCAGCGGAAGTGGGAGCGGGTACCTGTCAAATTCGGGTACCCACTCCCCAAAGGTGCCAATCCTTAATGGGGAGCGGGGGACAAAGGCTTAAAGCGGAACTTCCCCTTTTGGGTGGAGCTCGCTTTAAGTATACTCCTAGCAACCAGCATCAGTTGGATCCTGATTACTAGAAACTGCTGGGAGACAACCACTGGTGGTCACTGGAACTACAACTTTCTGCTCAAGGAACCACAGTGCCACCAGCAGGTGAACCAGGCCCTGACTGCATTCTTTAACAACAAAAAATCAGTCTTGTTGTTCTTTCAAACAATGTAGATGATCATTTTTCTGCATTAACATATAAAAGTAGTAGTGATAGCATTTGGTAGTAGTAAGCACAATTCCATGAGAGAACTCTTAATAATTCAAAAACTAATTTTGAGATATGGTCCCTCTAAAAAGAGAGTTAATTGATCAGCAGTAAAGGAAAACAAAATCACATGTTTACCTCTTTGCCCATTTTAAGGGTTTCTACAACCAGCTATTTGTGTTTTTGGGAACTTGGGTAGTGTACAGTTTGTACATGTAGTATGTCCATTCTAGGTGATGTATCAATGAATTATACTCCTCTCTGCTATCATAACACGTTTGCTAGCTCTGCTAGGAGTACCCCTTTAAGTAATTTTTTTTTTATAGATTTAATCAATTTTTCCATATGTCATAGTCTGATTTGACAGTCATTGGTGGTGATTAACGTAAATAAAACATACCTTGACTCAAGATATTGATTTACATGTGTAGAAACTTCAGAAATCATTAAATAATCATTAAATAATGAGGTGACTATAGTTTTCCATTACAAAAAAATTATTTAATGTATAGTTCAGGAAAAGGCTGATGATAGTTGAGTTGATGGGAATAGTGGTATTTGTTCATACATGCCTGTGTAAATCACAAATACACATATGCTCTGTACCATACATACAGTAAATCAATAATCAATCACATAGGCAAAGATAAAATTATACCAGCGGGATTAACCTGTCATCCATTTCATATTATCTGCACTTCATTCTGAGGCAATACATACAGAAAAAAAGTGTGAAGGACGGGACATTTGTACATAAAAAATAGATTTATTGATGACCTCAAAGAAATTGACCTTGGAGTCCCAGCATTCATGAGTGATCTCCATTTTAAGTCACATGAATCAAATGTATTTGTTCCACATTATATTGTAATATGAAATGACATTATACATCTGTGCCACCATGTGTAAAATAACCCAGCACTTGCAAGCACATTGCAAATTTTATTCTGAAATGTATTAGGGAAAGTGAGTTGGCATATTATTTCTTATTCAACTTTTATTACTTGTCTGCAAGAGGAAAATAGGTTATCGGCATATGGATTCACATAGAATTTATAGAATAAACTCATATTTGTAGGTATTGCACATATATGATATGTTCACTTAAATACAATAAAGACTTTTTCCATGTCATGAGATATCATATATGATGACATTGTTATATGTTCGCTTAAATACAATGAAGACTTTCTTCAAGGATCTTTGTCATGAGACATCATATATGATGACATTGTTGTGGGCTAGTAAAGGACATGCTAAATGTTTCAATTTCTGAGGAGCATGCTTAACATCTGTTTAAGTGGCTGGGATCATATTGAAATGAGTATTCTTATTTTTCCTATAATAATGAAGATCCAGAAGAAGGCATGAAAATAACTAAGGCATCCATCAGCATCCAAAATATCTTATCAGTGGGGTAAAAGTAGTTTTTCACTCTGTAAATGGCATTCAACAGCCCAGGCAAGCAACGCAAGCTAGTAAAGAAAATAGTTATATTACATATCCAGTGTTGTATAGAATAAATACTGTATTCTGTAGAGGGCTACATGACATGTCATCTATAGATAAGAAAGCAACTGATCGCAATATTTGAGGCTAAATGGAAAGACAGGAGTGAGTTATATTTTAATAAAATAAGACTGAATGAGTATACACAGCCCATGGCATCTCAGGGCACTCCAAGAAAATCACTTAAACACATCAGCGTATTTGTCAAGCACTGTAGATAGATATCTAGGCCTCTGTCACGCAGTTCTCTGTTAGCTGCTCTGTGTAGAATTCTTTATGTTTAAATTGGATGCCAATGGTAGGCATATAGGGCAATTTTGTAAAAGTTGCAGCGCCAATAATATAACAAATGCATAAGTTATGAAACCAAATAATTAACCACTTGCCCTCCAAAGGATTTACCCCCCTTCCTGACCAGTCCATTTTTTGCGTTACGGCTCTTGTGTTATCTGACAATTACGTGGTCATGCAATGCTGCACCCAAATGATATTTTACATCCTTTCTTCTCACAAATAGATCTTTCTTTTGCTGGTATTTGATTGCCTGTGCATTTTTTATTTTTTGCGAAATAAAAAAATAGACCAACAATTTTGAGAAAAAAAACTACATTTTTGACTTTTTACTATTACATGTCCAGTAAAAAAAATTAAAAAAATCTAATTTCATCATAAATTTAGGCCAAAATGTATTCTACTACAAACCTCAATACATGTAAAATATTATTATTATTATTAGTAATGGCGGCGATCAGTGACTTATAGCGGGACTGTGGCAGGCATTCTGACACTGGGGGGGGAACTGGCTTAGTGTCACTGACATCCCCAGTGACACCAATACAGTGATCAGTGCTAATAAAAAGCACTGACATTGTATTAATGGCACTGGGCAGGAAGGGGTTAACATCTGGGGCGATCAAAGGGTTAACTGTGTGCTGTGCTGTGTTTTACTGTGTTGTCTGTTTGTGTGCTTCACTGTAAGCACACTGCTTTGCATAGATCTGCTATGCAGAGCCATACAAAGCAGTGTGCTGGAACTGACAGGGGAGAGAACTGTATTGTTTACATACAGCTCTCTCCCTGTCGGTATTACTCAGCGATCACCAGGTGCCGGCTAGTAATCACTGGCTAGGACCTGGTGATTGAAAGCCGAGGCGGCAAATAGCAGCACAGGTGAGGTGCACACTGCTTGTGCACACTGCCTACCCGGAAATGCAAAATTATGTAAATATACGTGTTTTTGATGCCCCTGCTGCCCTGTAGCAGTATTTCTGCTATATGGCAGCGGTAAAGAGGTTATATTGCAAAATCATCAACATGCAAAAATCAGTGTCAGTGAATAATAATGCATAAGGAATCAAAGTCCACTAAAAAGGTGACTCTTCTTAATAAACAGTAGTAATCTCAATAGTCGCCCATGTGTAGCATTCCTGCATCAATCAAAGTGCATTACCATGTGTCGCTGCAGACCACCACCAATGCACAGTCACCAGCTTTTAAGCTACAATAAGGAGGCAGCAAACAGCACTGTTAGAGAATAAAAAACGTCATAGTATGTTCTTTTTATAATCCTCCACTAACTTGGAAGAGCACAGAAAATTATATATAGTGTAGTAATTTGTTCACAAAACAAATATATATTCATCTAATGGATACAAAAATTAGAGCTTACAAACACAGTGGAGTATCAACCCACAATGTAGGGACAGTCACTTACTAAGACGTCCTCCGGTCCCGGATGTGGAAGCAGTGGAGTGACGTCAGCACGTAGCCTCTCCCAATGTGTTTCATGTGCATACATATCTTCAGGGGACACTAGAATGCTGATCCATCCTTTCCTTTCCATTAAATAGCCTGCTAACAAGCTTAATACTGAATGTATTAGTGCTATTTTCTAACGTCCATAAGGGATACAAACAGAGGCAGACATATTTCATTAGCACAAACACCTCATAAAGGTATTCCTTAGTATCTATAGAGCTCTCATGGTGCCCTGGATTGATGGAGATTACTGCTGTTTATTAAAGCAGAAATATAGGCAAAACTTTTTCTTTTTTTAACATCTTGGATAGAGCAAAGAAGGGTTATAACATCTTTCTTTTTTGCCATCTGTGTCTCATTGTGGAGGTTTCCTTTCAATTCTTGTCCCATAGCCAAAAAGGAAGTGAGAGGAAATCCCTGCAATTTAAGGAAACTCATTGGGGACCCCCCAGGTCACCAGAATTATTGTCCCTATTGGATGATTTCCCCTTAATTACTCTTCCGGGGACAACCCAAAATTTGGGATTTTCTTTTACTTTCAACAATAATGATAAACAGGACAAATAGAGCAAGTGAATATCCCTAACGGAGGGCACAAGCAGCAATAAAAACTGACAAGCATTCCTCTCCACTATATCCAAAACTAAAAAAAAACATAAAATTGTGCTATACTTCCTGTAATTTTCCTTTCCTGGTGCCTATCCATGGCAGCATAGAGTGGATGTAAAAAGTCTACTCACCCCTGAAGGAAGAGGCATATACAGTGGAAAAGTCTACACACTCCTGTTAAAATGTCAGGTTTCTGTGATGTAAAAAAATGAGACAAAGATAAATAATTTCAGAACTTTTTCCACCTTTAATGTGACCTATAAACTGTATAATAATAATGTGGTTGCATAAGTGCACACCTTTAAATTAATAGTTTGTTGAAGCACCTTTTTATTTTATTACAGCACTCAGTCTTATTGGGTATGAATCTATCAGCAAAAGGCTGGTTGGATATAGCCTCTATGACTACAGACTGCTCACAGGTGGAAAAAGCTTTCCTGATAGGTGGACATATCTTTTTAATGGCTTTGAAGAATTGGGCCACAAACGAATCTTCCCACCTCTTGTTTGTCGCAGCAGAGATCGCTGCCACCTGTACTTTTAGGGTGCTTTTAGGTTAAGGCCTGCCTGGAGGAAGTCTAGAAGCGGAGAAGCAGAGGGCAGATCTGGATTGAAGTTCCTGCTAGTTGCAAAGGCTTTAAACTTGTTCCAAACCTTGTCATACATAATGTTTGTTGAGGGTTTTCTGGCATTGAGTAGAGTCAAAATAACTTTCGAAGAACATCCTAGGGACAGGAACCTCTGCCTTTCAACAACCATATGTGAAGATTCAACTTGTGAGGATGTGGATGTGTGTGCTGTCCCTGAGACAGAAGAAAGGGTATGAGTGGAATTTTTAATGGTGGGCGAATACTGAGGAACATTGCTACAGGAAACCATGGACATTTCAGCCAGTATGGCAAAACTATGATCACTATTGTGACTTCTGTCAGAAGTCTTGAGGGGAATTTTGAGATAAGAGGTCGGGGAGGAAATGCACAGGCCAGGTTGCATGCCCACGAACTCAAGAGGGCATCAATTGTTTCTGCCTGGGGGTGAGGTAGAAGTGAAATGAACCTCAAAACCTTGAAATTGTTTGCTGTAGCAAACAGGTCCAGATCAGGAAGGCCCCACAGGCTCACAAACCAATTAAATATCTTGGGATTCAGAGACCATTCGTTAGCGTCCTAGAATTTTGGGGACAAAAGATCTGCCTTTGTATTCAAGTTGCCTGGCAGATAGACTGCTCTTAGATCCATTAGATTTCTTTCTGCCCAAAGCATGATGGGTTCCACTTCTCTTAATAAAGACCTGCTGTGGGTCCCACCTTGATACTGGATGTATGATATCGCCACTCTGTTGTCTATTCAGAGGACTGGCTTGTGTTTGATTTGAAATTCTAGAGCTGTCAGTGCGAGATAGGTTGCTCGAATCTCCATATTATTTGAGATGATTCCTGCTGCGTGAAATGCCCATCTTCCTTGAACTGACAACATGTTGTAGTGTGCCACCCAACCAATCGCACTGGTGTCTGTGGTAACTATGGTCCAGCAAACATGCCTCAATGGATCTTATAAGTATTTCTTTCTTTGTCCACCACCATAGTCCCCTGTGCATCAGATTTGTCAGACGTATGGTCTGGGACAGATAAAACTTGTTCCAATGACTTAGAAATTCCAGCTGACAGTGCCTCAGGTGCCAGTGGGCCCATTGAACCATTGGGATACATGCTGACATAAACCCTATCAGACTCAGGAAGTTTGAGGCCATCAAGTAGGATTGTGTCCTTACTATCTTCATTCTCTGGAGAATGGCTATCATCTTCTGAGGCTAGAGGGACACTGTCCCTTCGAGGTGTGGAACAGAGCACCTAGATAAATAATTTGCTGTGTTGGGGTAAGTTGACTTTTTGTTTGATGTATCATCCAACTGAACTCTGACTGTGTGGATATCATAATTGCCATGTGTTTCTGCTAGTAGGATTAGATTCTTTGCTAGTACAGGACATCTTCCAGGTAGTGATATACCCTGAGCATTACTTCCCGCAGTGAGGCTAAGACTGCGATCAGAACCGTTCTGAAGACTCTGGGTGAAGTACAAAGACCAAAGGGCAGAGTCTGGAACTGTAGATGAATTTGACTGACTGCAAATCTCAGATATTTCTGAAACGGTAGGAGTACAGGTATGTGTAAGTAGGCATCTTGAAGGTCCACTGACAGTATCCAGTCCCCAGGTTCAACAGGATGGATAATAGTTAGCAGCGACTCCATCTTGAAGCTTTCAAAGAATATGTAATGGTTTAGCTTTTTGAGGTCTATTACTGGTCTTCAACCACCATTCCTTTTGGACACTATAAATAGGTCGGAGTAGAAACCGGAAAACGTCTCAGACGGAGGAACCGGTATTACCACTTGCTGCACCTGTAAGGATTCCTAAAACTGGAGAAGTACCGCCTCCTTCTGAGGAGACTCTGGTATCCTTGTGGGGGTAAAGAAGAAGTATATAAATCATGGGGGAACCCCCAAGCTGTTTATTTGTTTTTTTTAACTATCATGGCTCCTTTGCTTACATGGCAGTGAATTATCAGCCATGTAAATGAATGGAACTGGTGACTTTTCTTCTTGTCAAGGACTCAGCAGTGCCTGCACAGTGGGAAGCAGTCATGTATAGCAGTGGTATTATTACTGCTATTACCGATGAACTTTGGCTTCCACCAAATGTTCAGGAATTTGTCTGAACAGCTAAGATTCTGTCCAAAACTGTGTTCAAACCTTAAGCTAATTTTTTTTCAGCACAAGAGATTCGGTGTTGCCTGGCTGTATGATGATTAACCGCCCTATAGCATATAGAACTACTGCTGCATATATATATATATATGTAATATACGTGATTTCGTATTTCCGGGTAGGGCGGCACATGCCATTGGCGGTTTCAGCTGTTGATCACTGGGTTCTGGTCAGAGATTCCCCGCTGGCACCTGGCGATCGCCGAGGAACACTGACAGAACCCCTGTCAGCAAGACCATGTTGCTTTGTATTGCTCTGCATAGCAGAGCATTACAAAGCAGCATGCTTACACAGTAAAACAGCACACAGCATACAATATGAAAACACACACAACACACAGTTAACCCTTTGATCGCCCCAGATGTTAACCCCTTCGTGCTCAGTGTCATTAGTACAGTGTCAGTGCTTTTTATTAGCACTGATCACTGTATTAGTGTCACTGGGGATGTCAGTGACAGTTAATCAGTTCCCCCCCGTGTCAGAATGCCCACCACAGTCCCGCTATAAGTCCCTGATTGTCGCCATTACTAGTGTACAAAAAAAATCCAGTATATATACCGCCATTTGTAGACGCTATAGCGTTCTTGTAAACCAATTAATTTACACGTGTTGGGATTTTTCTTTAGCAAAGACATGTAGCAAAATACATTTTGGGCAAAATTTATGACAAAATTTGATTTTTTAATTTTTTTTTACTGGATGTTTTATAGCAAAAAGTAAAAAATATTGTTTATTTTTTTGTTTATAGCAAAAAAAATAAAAACGCAGAGGTGATCAAATACCACCAAAAGAAAGCTCCATTTGTAGGAAAAAAAAGGACAAAAATGTAATTTGGGTGCAGCATTTCATGAATGCTCAATTGTCAGTTAAAGTAATGCTGCTCCGTATTGCAAAAAATGGCCTGGTCAGGAAGGGGGGTAAATCTTCTGGAGGGCAAGTGAACACGTACAGCATGTGGAATGTTGGAAAAAATAATGCTTAGACACCTAAACAGTAAATATGCTTGTTTCTGTTACATACTGATTAATAATGAATGTCTTGGTAGTGGGGTGGCTTTGAGGGGGTTGTTGGAAAACCAGGAGGGTCTAT